AGTACTAGTACAGTACTAGTATAGTACTACTACTACTACTACTACTACTACTACTACTACTACTATTACTACGACTAACTACTACGACGACGACTACTACGACGACGACTACTACGACCACGACGTCGCGGACGACTACTACTACGACGACGACGAAAAGACTACTACTACTACGGCTGCTGCCACTACTACGACGACGACGGCGATTAGTACTACTTGTAGTACTAGTACTACCAGTACCACTAGAGCTCCTACTACCACTACAACACCACTGCCACTACCATTACGACGACGACTACTACTGCGACTACCGCTCCTGCTCGTGCTCCTGCTACTGCTACTGCTGGCGATGCTGCTGCTGCTGCTCGTGCAGCTGATCCTGCAGCTCGTGCTGCTGCCACTACCGCTACTGCTACCACTACTGCTGCAAATGCCGCAGCAGTAATATGAAGGGCCAGAAAACGTCTCTAGAGCAAGATGAATGTTTGGAGCTTGGGCGATGATTTGGTGATACTGGGGAAATCCCACCGGCTTTTCCAAGGCATAAGCGCACCATCTATGCCGAGCTAACTCAGAAGCAGGAGCTGAGTGAGTCTGGGAAGCTGCACAATCAGCAGGCTCTTTTCGGGCTGTTCGGGTGTTGCGGAGTGAGTAGCTGTATGTACCCAGCCTTTGGGAGGATCCGACAAGTAGATCCCTGAAGGGGGTTACTATACATCAATTATCCTGTAGTGCACTAGTATTATAGCAGCATAGGATCCCAGATCCGGGTAGACCCTAAACAAACCCTAAACCCTTAAACCCTTATAAACCCTAAACCCTATGAAGCTTAAGCAAACCCTAAACCCTGAACCCTTAAACCCTAAACCCCTAAACCCTAAACCTTGAACCCTTAAACCCTAAACCCCCAAGCCCTATGAAGCTTTTGCAGCCGAAGACTTCGAGTTGGTTCACTGTTTATCAGAAGTCGGAGGCTTGCGGTTGCATAGGTCGTTTGCACGATTCAAGGGCTCAGGGCTGTGGGTTTCGAGTTGCCATAGGTTCTTGAGATGAAGGCCACAGCTCATGTTTTTTGAGATGACAGCGATTTTGGAACATTCGTGTTGGCTTCCCCTGCTGTTTCCGTGTTTGTTGCCAGAATGGTATATATGACCCGAAACCCTAAACCCCACGCAAAAACCTTCAATCCTGCTGAGATTTTCAGGAAGATTGCGCTCCTGTTACGGATCTGGGTGACCACAAGGACGAAGCCTCAAAACTTATAACTAGTTCCTGTACCGTAGGCTAACTTCTTTGGGCGGGGGGGGAGGAGTGATTGAGACAAAAACTGCTTCTTCCCCGCGAATCATTGACCCCTGGAGGCAGTGGGAAGCTTAAATTAATTAAACCCTAAACCTTAAACCCTAAACCCTAAACCATTGAAGCCCGCCTTTTTTCTTGGAGCCTTACCTGCTGAAGCCTTGAAATGCCGCAATCTCTAGACCCTGCAGCTTCCTCAAGACACCTCCTGTAAACTTAGCCTTAGCGCCCTAGACCATGATGAGCTACGTTTTAGGTGTGCTATGGGGCCTAACTGCTTAAATCCCAAAATGACATCCCAAAACCCTAAGCCCTGCACCCCAAACCCTGCTGGACAGAAGCGTCGTTCGCCGGTTCCGTTGGCCGCAGATCCTCCCCAGACTCCCGACGACGCCTGTCCTATAACGACTTGACTTTGGCCTTTCCCGGTTTAGGGCTTTAGGGTCAGGATTCCAGGGTTCAGGGTTTAGGGTTACAAGGTTTAGGGTTTAGGGTTTAGTCGGTTTTTGGGATGTTGGATTCCAGGGTTTAGTGATATCTATAGAGTCCGCCGTAGTTCCTGTTCTTGGTTTTACCCTATCTTGTATTAAGGATCCTATAATGCGGTAACCCCAAAGGGAAGTGCAATAGAGACTCTGGGTAGTGCTACAGGATTCTTGTATGGATTGGCATTGACTAGCAAACTGCAACTTGAGAAAGGCACGGCTTTCTTGGATGATCACGTTTGTTGCTAGACTTGCAGTGGCTGCAGCAATAGTTGAGAACTGACCTGTGCCTTTAGTGCATGGCGCAGCAGTGTGAGAGAGTGCGTTCTGACGCATGCCTGCAGCAAGACATGCAAAGAAGGTTCCTTGTTTCAGCAGGCAGCCTTCGTGATCCGTCCCACGTGTGGAGCCTCCAAGCACTTTTTTGCCAGTAGAGCTTCTGAACCCCAACCCAAAACCCTGCGCACAGAGACCTTGCCCTGGCTACTCCGAGATGTCAGAGTGTAAACCTAAAAAACCCGAAAACCCTAAAACCCGAAGCCCTGGACCCCCAAAGCCCCAAACCCGAAATCCCAAACCCCTCAGCCCTAAACCCTAAACCCTAAACCCTAAACCCAAACCCGAAATCCCTAAACCCTCAGCCCTGAAAGAAAGCCTTCAAACAGCCCAAAGCGGAGTCCTCTCGTTTGCACTGAAGGCCGAAGCCCTTCCTGAAGGTCTGGTCTTTTGGTCGGCATCCAGAGGGCTTCGTGTTTAGGGGTTTAGGGTTTAGGGTTTAGGGGCCTTTTGGGTTCAGGGTTTTGGTTTCGGGTTCTGGATTTCGGTTTTCTTTGGTTTAGGGTTTAGGGTTGAGGTTTAAGGCTTACCCAAAGGCCCCATAGTAGTTCCTTTTTGTGGTTCGTAT